TTTGTGTGGAGAGAGTGAGAGGGTTTGGAGTGCAGCGCTAAGGGTGAAGGGTTTGGAAGGAACACTCTGGAGGATTAGGTGCCATGGAAGAGCCAGGGCACAGGAGATGCTTGGGTACTGGAAGCTGAGAGCAGGTAATGTGTGTGTCTCTTGAGGGAAGAGAGGAAGGTTTGTAACAAGTGAAGGATATGGTTGATAGAGCAGTGACAGCCCAAGAGTGTTAGCCTTGCCATGGGGTGAGGGAGAAAAACCTTAGGCAACATGGCAGGAAAGGAGCGTTTTGTGGGAACAGAGCGTTCTGAAGAGACTCGGCAATTACAATTTTTCTAGTGAGAAATAGGAAACGTCGAGAAAGAAATGGCTTGGAATGGTGGAATAGTTAGACTCATGTTGTGTTCAGATTTGTTGAAACGTAGAATGATTGAGGAAGGCAGAGAGAAAGCATTCTGCTCATCCCTTAGCTGGCCCTGGTGGCCTGGTCTGAGCCATGCCCAAGCCAGGAGCCAGCCTCTCCATCCTGGTCTTGTACCTTACTGGCAGCACCCCTAGTTCAACCTGTGCCACAAGGCTGTCCCCAGGCTGCACATTTCAGTAGGCAGTCATAAAATTCTTACTGAAAAATTCATACTGGAATGTCAAGTGAGGAGTGCTGGGTCAAGCCAAATCATTAAAAGTTACTGGTGGGTAACACAATCCTTTTATTGTTATTCCATATCAGCAGTAACACTTTTTGTGTTTTTATATATGGATTAGTAAAATTTCTCTTTATAATTATTGTTCATGTTACATTTTAACATCAGGGTTGTTACCTGCTGAAATTGTGTATAGGACTACGTTTTTTGGGCATCTTTTTTGTCCTTTGTATTAAGAGCTGCAGCAGTGGATCTTATTTATGCTGCAAGAGGTTCTGTACGCATTCATGAGAGAAGTTTCTGCTGTGTGTCCTTGCAGAAAAGTCACTGGTGCAGCTGGACAGTCTCCTGCTTTATGAGCCGTTTGGATATTATTTGCATTTGCTCATTCGTTTATTGTTTTTTGTCTGTTACATTCTTGCACCATCATGGGATTACCATGTCATTTTTTAAAAGGATTCATTTTTTAATGATACTTATTTTTAGGTGAAGGGTCTCACCACTCTCCCCCATTCCCTTCCATTCCCCCTTCTGTGATTTGTTCCTAATTTATTACAATGGCATACTCCTTCATCCTTCTATTATAAGCTTAACCTCCTGATATATGTGTGTATATGTATGTAGGTGTGTATATGTATGTATGTGTGTATATAAAAATTTACAACACATAAAATTTCCAGCTCTGCCCAGGATTCATCTGGCATGCGATGCTTGGGGAGAAGATTAGTGTAAAGTTCTCCCAACCCCCAAGAGAGGGCTGGACCCCATCCACTCAGCTCACTGAGCAATGACAAGATTTCCGCTATATAAATGTTTATAGTGCTTCAAGGTTTGGGTCCTCCTTCCAGCATAGAAAGAGTCATTTTTTTTTCCTTCTAAATTTCCCATTTTCTTGGCCCCTCCTACTCACATAGCCTGTTCACTGAGACTGATGCCTACCTAATGCTGTGATATTGCCCCCTCACAGAGACATACCCCACAGCCTTAAATGGGTAATATGGATGGAGGTCCATTTGCACCTGCGAGCAGCCAGCTGTGGTGACAGGTGCAGGGCATGGATGGCGGCATGTCCAGGTGCAGGTGTATCCCCTCCCCAACTCCCTCCCCCCACCTAGTTCCTCTATATCATTGCTAACATATAGTTCTTCCTACACAGTAATATGTCCATCATTGCAGGCATGGACAATGGCAGAGTCCAGAATCCTATTGTCAAGATATAGTAAAACAGTTTCATTTTAAGTCCATCCTTGACTGGAGGCAGAAATGCATCCTACACTGCATCCTCACATCTGGATGTTAGTCTCCATTTCGCAGCTAGTGTACATCCCCTTAAATAGAAAGTCATGATACAAAGTCAACAATAGAAAAAATAGAAGTTTACAATGCCAGGAAGTTAAATGACATGTTACTGGATATGACTGTCTCCATTACACAACTACTGTACAGCCCCTTAATTGAAGAGCCACAAAACAAAATCAACATCAGGGAGAAATAGGATATTAACAACACCATGAAGTTAAACAACATGCTATTAAATGACTAACATGTAGCTGAAGAAATGAAAATCAAGAACCTTCTTGAAGAAAATGATGCCACTGCATGTTCTACGAGTCATTGAATGATTTAATCAGAAGAAAGTGTTTTGAAGAGATGAAACCAACAGAAAACAACAAAACCCATGCAATATAGTTTCTGCTGATCTTTGTTGGTGAAGTGTGTCTCCTCCAGACAATAAATAGATGGGTTTTGTTTTTTAATCCAGTCTACTCATCTATGATGTTTGATTGAGCTTAAACCGTTTATATTCGGAGATTAATATGTATGGGTGGTACTTTGGTCCTGTCATTTTAGGAATGGGCTGTTCGTTGGTTTAGTCTTCTGTTGTCATTTTACTGGGATATTCTTCCCATTTGCCTTTGGTTTTGTTTGGTGCTAGGCCTCTTCTCTGTCAAGAGAACATCTTGAAGTGTCATTTGTAGGGCAGGTTTGAAAGAGGCAAATTCTTTTAACTTCTCTTTACTGCGGAAGAATTTTAGAAAGACACTATTAAGAGACCAAATATAAGAGGTATGGGAGTCCCAGAAGGTGCAGAAAGAGAAGCTGAGTTTGCAAATGTGTTTAATGAAACAATAAAGGAAAATTTCCCTAATCTAGAGAAAGAATTGGGAAACAACATCTAGGAGGGGCAGAGAACTCCCAACAGGCTTGACCAGAAGAGATCTTCACTAAGATAACCTCAGGCTTCCTGGCCTGTGGTTGCAGAAATGGTCTTTTAAGACAAGGGTCTATGGGGGCAGAGAAGGCCTCATGCAACAGGACCTTTGGGTAAAGTAATGGCCTCACCCATCTGGGTCCTGTGAGTATAGATGTGGTCTCGCAGAAGAGGGATCTGAGCTTGCAAGGATGGCATTGTATGACACGGGCCTGTGGGTATGGGATGGTATCCCACCACATGAGCCTGTGGAGTTTGGTGTCAGGTTCCTTTGGAAGTGGGTTGGCGTTGCCATGCCAGGGCCTAGGGGTGCGGGGCAGCCCTGGTGTGATTTTGGCCCGTGTGTGGATTAGCTCACCATCTGGTGCCTGTGGGTTCAGAGATGGCTTTGCATTGACAGGGTTCTGTGGATGAAGAGATGGCCTTGCGCAACAGGGGCCTTTGGGTTCAGGGTGGCCTCACATGCTAAAGGCCTGGGGCGGGCGGGGGCGGGGAGGGGAGGGAGGCAGCACTGTACAAAAGGTGTCCATGGGTGTGGGTTGGCCTCTCATGCCACAGAGGCCTTTGGGTGCAAGGAAGGCCTCATGTGTTGGGCTCATAGGTGCAAGTACGGTCTCTGTGTGCATGGCCTGTATGTTCAGGACAGCCTTGTGTGATGGGAGCCTGTGGGCTGTAGGGTAAGGGACTTTTGGGTACAGGGACAGCCTTGCCTTTTAAAAATCTTGTGGGTGTGGGGTAGGGCTAGTAAGACCTTAGTCCATGCATGTGTTGACAGCTCCCATGTTGAGGGCCTCTGTGTTCAGGGACAACCTAATCCACCTGGGTCCTGTGGGTACAGGACAGCCTCTCATGCCATGGGTGGGTGCAGGTTCTGCCACAATGACAAGGGTTTGAGGGAGCAGGGGTGGCCTCATGTGTCCAGGGCCTATGCATGTGGGGATAGCCTCGTTGGTGCAGGGCTTGTGGGGTCAAAGATGACCTCACCCATCATTTTTGTGGGTGCAGGGATGGCCTCAAACAAATGGTGCCTGTGGGTGTGGGGATGACTGTGTGTATGCAGGGTCTTTGGGTGCTTAGACTGCCTCATGCAACAGTGAGCTGTAGGTATAGGGATTACAACACATATCTGGGACGTCTCTTGTGGAGATGGCCTTACACGTCCAAGGCCTGTGGGTGAAGTGACATCTTTATATATCTGTGGCCTGTGTTTGCATGAGAGGTCTTAATGGGTTGTTGGATGACCTTGTAGGTCCAGGGTCCATGTAGTCAGGATGGACTTATGTGTGCCAGGATGGCCTCTTGCGAGAAGGACCTGTAGGTGCAGCATGGCCTTGCACTACCTTGGCCATTGGTTGTAGATGTGTCCTCCTCTGACAGAGGCTGTGTGTGCCTGATGGCTTCCTGCAACTTGGTGCTGTGATCCAGCATGGCATCAAAAATTGGCCCCTGTGTTTTCTGGGAATGCCTAGAAAGCAAGTGTCTGTCGGATCAGTTACAGTCTTGAGTGACCCAAAGGGGTTTTGGATGCAGGCATGGTCCTGCATGAAATGAACTTTTGGTTGCAAGGAAGGGTTTATGCAACAGGGGCCTTATTGTGCAGAAATGATCTCATGTGACAGGGGCTGTTGGATCAGGATGACCTTATGTGACAGCACCTGTGTATACAGGGAAGGCCTCACATGACATTTGTCTTGTGTGCAGGCATTGCCTCACATGATGGTGACCTGTGTGTGCAGGGAGGGCCACACAATGAGAGTGGCTTTTGGATGCAGTGATAGCCTCATGTGACAGACAGGTCGTTTGGATGCAGAGGTGACTTGATGGGTGTGCGATCTGTAGATGCAGGGTGGCCTCTAACAACTGGGTCTGTGAGTACAATGATGACCTTGTGTGACAGAACTGTGGCTTAGGATGACTTCACATGACACTGGCCTTCAGTTCCATAGATAACCTTGTGTGACCGGAGCATGAGGATGCGGGGATGGTCTCACGTTACAGGGATGTGTGGGTAAAGGATGATCTCCTGAGTCCATGTTCTCTGGCTACAGGGATGGCTCAAGCCAAAGGCCTTTTAGTTCTGGGATGGGCATCGCACCTGGCCCAGCAACCCCCAGAGCAGGTGATCACGCTTGCTTGCTTGCTGGGCCAAGTGGGATGTCCACCTTGGATGAAGAAGTGTCTCAGGGAATGGATCGAATAAGGAGGCACGGTGGACAAAAGTGTCCCTAACCAACCTCATTTGTTTCTGCAGGGAGTCCAGCAAGCAAGCATTGCATGCCACATTCTCTCAGCCACTTCTTCAGTAGAGTTTTCTGGGTCCTGATCTGTACAGAGGGACAGGCAATGGGCAGGTGAGTGCTGTGAGAACCCAGGACTGGAGAGACCAGGGTTTTGCATCAGAAATGAGGCTTCCTGCCTCTGTCCTTTGGCATGGTCCCTGGACTGGGTCAGGGCTCCGAGTGGAAGTGCACAGGTGCCATATCCTCAGAAGGCAAGAGGATGCCTGTTAGTGGGTGGTCCCTTCCAGCCTCTTTCCCAGGTGGGCACATGTGGAATGGAGCTCCCAGATTCCTCCCACCCTTTGAGTGTCATGATAGACCAGCTAGCTGCCTGATGGCACTTGGACACTGACGGGCTATCCTCATGATTTGCCTCCGTTACCGTGGATCAGCTGCTGAGGCTCAGGCCTGGGCTGGCTAGCTGCCTGGTCAAGGGAGCACACTGCAGTCACCTCATGGAACTGCACCATGAGGACCTTGGGAAGAGCTTGGCAGTGAGCACCACAGCTTCCCAAGTATAGCCCAAACTACAGCACAGGGCCTGAGGCCCCGTTCCATTCTCCAGGCCCAAACACTTTTATTTTCTGGGTGTGTGGGGCCTCCCCAGGTATAGCACCTGCCCATTTCAGAGAGCCTTCCACCAAGATGGAGGGTGACTCCCAGTGGCAGTTGGACTATTCCATTTATGAGGAGGGGTGAGCTGGTGGCGAGAGGGTGTGTCACAGGCTCTGGTGGGATGGGTTCAGACCTGTATTATGCTGGGATAGAAAGTGTACCAAAGGGGCCATCATGATGCCCTAGCAGTTGTGTGTTGTGGCACCACAGGCCTGTGGGATCCATGTTCCCTGGCTCTCCCTGGTCCCCCATAGCTGGCTCTGCAGTGGTACGCTCCAGTTGCCAGGAGTGGATTGTAAACAAAGCCAGTATTCTTCCCACGGAGGCTGTGGATGGTGGTAGTGGATATTTAACCCTCTTCTCCGTGGATGGAGCCCCCCGGGGCCACCCCACATTTATATGTGGGGTGGTTCCAGGATGAGCTACGTGAAGTGAGTCTGGGTGCCCTCAGGGTTATGTAATCTGAGCCAGTGTGGTCTCAGGGTCTGAGGCCAGCCCTCACTGTGGCCAGGTGTATTGTGTGGTTTGCTCCTGTGGTAGAGCAGGACCTGGGTATCAGGAACTTGGTCTACTGGACAACACAAAGTATGGGAATGGTTCTTGAGTTCCAAATGAAGTAGCCTTTTTGTTTTAAAGTTTGAGCGGGGGTCAGTGACACATGGTCCTTCCAACTCTGACAAAGTTAAGGGCAGAAATCCCTAAATCCATGTAGTGATGAAACCTCTTGTCTTCAAAGGACAGCTGAGCTAGCTTCAGAGTTTGGGATTATAATTCATCATCTTCCAATAAAGAGTGCCCCTGAGAGATGCTTTTAAGTGAGATTGTTTACCCTCTTTTATCTTTGTCTTGTTAACAGAGATGATATTGTTAAAGGATAGCGATTATGAATTCCCAGAGGTTTTTTTGTTTGTTTGTTAGCTTCAGTTTATTATTAGGTAATAGATTTTTCCTGCTTCAGTATTCATGGTAGTAGTTGTTGGCATGTTAAGTGGTATTTCTCTTGCCATGTTTTATTACACACTCTTATTTTTTTAAAAGACCATTTAAACATTGAGGCAGTTGTAATTATTCTGTTTATTCATTTATTGTACTGTAGGTGTGTGTGTGTGTTTGTTGTCTGAGCACCAGCATCAAGCTGTGCAGGGGGAGAGAAGACAAAAATGAGTATAAAACACTAGTATAAAGAATCAAATGCTTACTGAAGCATACACACAACCTGCTAGGGAAATTGAAGGTTGGAAGAGATGGTATTTTCTTGGATGAGGGAAGTCTTTAGGCTGAGGAGCTGGTTTAAGCAGTGGAGGCATGAAGCACAGTGGTGCATGAAGAGAAAAGCAGCTGTGTTAGTGGAGAGTGGGCTCAGGAACTGATGTGTTGGCGTGCTTGCTAGGGACATAGAGTCCAAGTGCTGTAGGTGTTGGGGAGCTGGTTGAAGCCTTTCCGGGAGTTAGACTTGGGCCTTCCTGAGCCTAGGTAAGGATGTAGGTTAGATGTCAGAGAAGCAAAACTCAAGATAGAACTGAAGTGAATGATAACAGAGTGGTAGGGCTAGAGGAGGAAATAGTGAGTAGGCACATAGTTAGGCACTAAAAGTTAAAATGAGTATTACTTCATTATTAGATATGAAGGAGGAGAGAAAGAAGGAATCTGGAGTAACTGCCAGCTTTCTGGCTCTGGCAATCTAGGCATCCCAACGAGAGGACTAATTCTTTTTCTGCCTCTCAAAAAAATTATCAGGCTTATTTACTTGGTATATATTAAATAAATATATAGAGAGCAGCCTGGCTGCGAGGATTAGAGTTATAAAAAAGATCTTGGAGGGGAGAATACTTGGTAAGTTTTTTCCCCCCTTAGGCAGAAAGGTCTACTGTCTACCGAAGGAAAATTTGCTATAGAGATTTTGGATTGAAGCCCAGAAAGAACTAAGCCTGTAGTTCAGATTGCTCTTTAAAATGCATTTGTCATCTTCTTCTTTTCCCTGCCTGTGTGCTTTATTTTTCGTAAAGTGGCATCTGGGGCTTGATCCAGAGAGAGTTGAACTACAGAACCAGGTTGAAAGTCTTGAGCTGTATTTTGCTCAAGACCAATGGGAGAGAAGAAGTGATTTCCAAGGTCACAGTTATGGCATCACAACCATGAAGGGCCAAAAATAGAGCTTCCCTTTCAATTTCCCGGGTGTGAAAATAGATCATTCCCTCCTAGATAACAGGAGAAACCTATAGAGTTGGAGTGCAGGGCTTCAGAATCTAAACGCATGGGCAGAATTGTGACATCGCTGATAAAGTTACCTCCCATGACATTGCCCTCCCACACTGCAATACTGGCTGCACCACTTCTGATCCACTTCCTCTGATGCACCTAGGAGAGCAACAGAAGCTGGCCATGTCCAAGCTGGCTTGGACTCCTGCATCCCATGTGGGAGACCTAGATCTGGTCCTAGGCACCTGTCTTCGACCAGACCTAGCTGCCAGTTTTTGCCATTTGGGGAAGTGGAGAGAAGTCTCTGACTCTTTCTCTTTCACTCTACCTCCCAAGTCAACAAAATGACTCTTTTTAAACAAGAACTCTAAACCCAAAGTACTGTCAGTGACTTTTAGACTTTTTAATTGAAATATTTGTTTGAGAGTTGTGAAGATTGAGTCAGGGAGTCACGCATACAACTTGGCTTTCCCTTGTGGGGGCAGGACCTCCATTACTGGAGCCATTGCTGCTTCCTCGATTCTGCATGAGCAGCAAGCTGGAGTCAGGAGCTGGGACTGGGAACTGAGCAAGGCAATTCTGTGGAATGTAATCTTAATCATTAAACAAAAGAACCACACCTCAAAGTTCATTTGAAAGCTTCAGATAACTTTTTTTTTTCCTTTCCAGTAGGGAAATCTTTTCACGGAGAATATAATATACTTTATATATATATAAAACCCAATTTGGTGTTTAAAAAAAGGAAAGTAGCTGAACTTACATTACTCAGCTTCTTTCTGTGGCCTTCTCTGTTCCTGTCCCATCATTTGGAGGGTGTGGGGGCGCTTGTATTTGAATCCAGTTTGAGAAATTCCTGCTTTTCTCTCTATCTTGCTTCTTTTTCACTGAGTGATAGTAGGTACAAGTTTGCAGAAGAATTTCCTGTGGTGCCTTCTATTTGTTATGATTCTACAGCCCGTTTCCTGAAAGGAAAATAATGGAGTTGGCTATATAGATTTGGATCTCTGTTTACTGCCTCAATTGCATTTTTAAGAACTGAGTTTTCTTTGTCTTGAAGGTTGTTCCTACAGTACCTGAGGATGCTGGACAAAGAGATCATCCCCATGGATTTCTATGGGGTTGCGATATACGTCCAGCCATTACTTATGTTCTCATTTGCATTTTTATATGGAGAATTTTTCAATTTGTAAGTAAACAATGCTGTATTCAAAAATGTTCGTTGTGTCTTTAAGTTGAACAACTAATGTAAGAAATTTGTATTTTTTGAGAAAGCAAAATCACATATATGTCTAAGATAAAACAGAAGGGGTATAGAGCAAGTTTTTAAGTATAAAATTTTGAAAGAATGTCCTTGGAGAAGTTTTCTATGGTATTAATACCCAAATACTTTGAGTTCTTCCCCTGTTGTTTTTTAAAGTTGATTCAAATGGCTGAAAGAGCGAGAGAAACAGGGTGACAGACCAAAAGAAATGGCCAATCTGCTGTTTCACTGTTCAGATTCCTCCAACAGCCAGGGCTGGGCAGGGTGGTTGGGAGCTGAGAACTCAGAGTCTCCCACATGAGTAGCATGGCCCTACTAGTGCCTCCTGTGGTCTGTATTGGTAGGGCTGTGGAGGCAGGAAGTAGAGCTGGAGATTGAACGTAGGCCCTCTAGTTTGGGATGTGGCCATGTTACCCATACAGTTTTCAATCAGTAGGTCAAGTTGAGCAGTTTATCATAATGATGAATGATTATTGATGTATTTAGTTTCTTCGAGCATAGTTTATTAACTTCTTCCACTTAAAAAAGAAAGCTTATTTATTTGATGCTTTCAAGTAAATGAGCGAGAGGCGAAAAGCAATCTACTGGCTGATTTATTCCTCAAGTGGCTGCAGTAACTGAGGGCTGGGCCAGAAGGAAGCCAGGAGCCAGCAATTGCATCAGTGTCTCTCCCATATGTGACAGGAACTCAAGTTCTTGAGCAACCATTAGCTGCTTCCCATGTCAATAATAAGGACTTGGACTGGAGCTGGAGTAGCTGATCCTTTCTCCCAGCCAGTCGCCTTCACTTGGAGCTGAGGGCGTTGGCATGTAACCACTCTCCTTCTCTGGGTCACAAGAAGCCATGCAACAGGAAGGGGTGCACTCACTGTCCTGATGGACATAGATGAAAATACAAACTTCTCTCTCCCCCTTTCCTCACTCTGCACATCTATCCCTGGATGTGTCTGTGACTTCTTCAGCATTTACATAAACAGGACCGCGAGGAATTTTAAAAGGTGTGGGGAAAGCAGGATTAATTAATTAATTTCTTTGAAAGGCATAGTTGGAGGGTGGATGAAGACAGAGGGAGGGGAGGTATTTTTCAGTTGCTGGCTCAGTCCCCAAATTTTGGCTGCAACCAGTGAAGCTGAGCCAGGCCAAAGATGACAGGAGGCAGGAGTTTCATCCGTTCTCCCAGGTGTGTGGCATGGGCCCAAGAACATGGGCCACTTCCCACTGCTTTCCTAGATGCATTCACAGACAGCTGAATCTGAAATAGAGCAACCAGCATCCATAGGAGATGCTGCTATCACAGGTGATAGCGTAACATACTGTGGCACTGTGGCGGCCCTTTGAGCGTCTTTGCATTTGATGTTCTGATTTCAGTATCATGTGTCTAGCCATAAAATTCCTTTGTCTTTTCGACTTCTCTAGACTCAGGATTGTCTTTATGTCAATTTGGAGAAATCTCTCCATTTAAAAGTCAGTTTCTCTTTTTGAAGTACTATTGTTCAGATATTGGCTCTCCTTTTATTTTTTCAGTTTTTACTTTTTTTGAAGATTTATTTTTTATTGGAAAAAATAGATTTGCAGAAACAAGAAGAGGGAGAGGAAGATTTTGCATCTGCTGGTTCACTCTCAATAGTGTCACCACCATAGGTGATGCTGGCAGGGACTGAGCTGATCAGAAGCCAGGATCCAAGAGTTTATTGTGCGTCCCACATGGGTGCAAGGTCCCAAGACTTTGGACTATCATTCAGTGCTTTTTTTGTTTTTTGTTGTTGTTGTTGTTGTTTATTAAGTTTGGATGAAGTTTGAATCGAGCATCCAGGCCATAAGGATGGAGCTGGGTCTGGGTGGGAAGTCGAGCAACCAGGGCAAGAACTAACATCTGTGTGGGATGCTGAGTTCTAGCAGGCAAAGGATTAGACAGTTGGGCCATCGTTTTGGCCACCTGGTTTTCCTTTAAGCTTGAGGAGCTTCCCCAAATAATGTTCTGACTTACTAGTTTACTTTATATTTGTTTACATTTGTAGGATTGTATTGTAGCCTGCTTTTTCTTGTTTAATTTTATCTGTATCCTTATTCTCTAGATGAATTCCGTTTCCTTTTATCTTACCTTTCAGCCCTCACTAAGCTCTTAAACTGGATTTTTCCCTTGCTTTATTATTTGTTAAAGAGAAAGATCAAAGAAGAAGAAGATTTGCTTTACTGTTTTCTTTAGAGTAGTTGAGACATGTGTCCAATTGATAATATTTCTCAGGTTTGAGTATTAGCATTAGGAGCTATGATAATAGAATTGCCTGAAAACATTTGTCTTAGGGCCAAATATGTTTAGGGAACAATAGGCGGAGTGAAATGAAACAGGAATCTTTACCAAAAACCATTTCAGAGCTGTTGACATAATATATACTTTAAATTTTTGATAAGAGGACATTAATGTGTAGTTTTTCTCATTAGAGCATTTGTCTTGCGGAAATCACTTGTAATATTTAATTGGCAGAGGTAAAATTAAATTTACATATGCTTATTAGCTATATATATATATTTGCCTTAACATATTTTTTTGTTAAAAATTTGTTTCAGATTGCAAGCAGGCTTTATGTAGGTAAGCAGTCTTTTTCCTATTTTAGGTCTCATCAGTTTTCTGCATAAAATTAAAAAATTACATTTTATCTTTTTTTTTTTTTTTTAGTAAAAAAGAAAAAGCTTGCTGTAGAACACTCTGGACTAATAAAAGAAAATTGTGATCTACTTGACAAACCTAACTTTCTAGAAAAAGAGGTAAGAGTTTTGAAAACAAAAATAATTAGAGTCAGGAAATAGTATTTATATGTAGATAGTTTTGTGTAAACAGTTGATTTGGAGTGTATGGGCATTATGCTGTTCCTCACTTCAATGCTTAACAAATCTTACTAATTTTAGCCATTTTGTTAGAAGTGATGTGGTCCCATTGTGGATTTACTCCATGTTGTCCTAATGAGTTTCTTATATTTTTTAGCTCATTTGATTTTCTGTTTTATGGACTTACCTTTTCACATTTAAGAAAGTATATTTGTATTTTTCTTTTTGCTATGTGTTTTTTTTTTCTATATTTTATAAAGGAGCCCTTCCCTCAATATATGTGTTTCAGTTCTCTTCTGATTTGGCTTACTTTGATGATGTTTCAAATTCTGCTACAAATTGACGTTTTCATTTTCTCTCTGTGTGAAGCCCTGCCTTCCAAACAAATGAAAAAAATCTTTATTTGAATGATTTATAGTTTGTGCTCACGGTGTTGGTTTGTTTCAGTATGAAAGCTTAGAGCGATCTTTGCAAGGTGCCAGCTTTGAGGAGTCGGAAGAAGGGCAAACTTTGAAGTTAAAGAGACCAAATGACTACATTTTGAAAGCTGGGGCGAGGAGTGTTGCTGACTAACATAGACTTTAAAGATACTATGTTGTCAGCAAACTCTGTTTCAAAGAAATATGAAAAAATATGGTAGTTTTTATAACTTACAAATGGTTAAATATTGGAAATAGACCGTTGGTAGTACATGTTTTGAGTGATGCCTATTCAGCTCGTAGGAGAGCTCTGTAGAAGCTCTTTGTTCTTCCTTCTTGGAAAATCTGTGAAGTGACCTTTCCTTTTTTGGACTCAGTTTACTACACAGAGAGACAAAGGATTCATTCAAACAAATTTAGGACTAGTTGGCAACAATGAATTATCGAAATTGTGTCATGGTATTGGCCTAGATGTAATCCTCAAGAATATTAGGAATTATTCGGAATTGGATCAGAAGTTACATTATAAATATTGATGTGCTGCTAAGTGTTTCAGAACTGGCTCTCCAAAAATCACTTGCTGAGTTCTGGGGAAAAAAAAGAAAGAAAGAAAAAAAAGGTTCCCAACCTGGCCAGTCTCAAGTTACCAACCTGAGGTTACTGAATGAGGAGTATTCTCATGATCCAGCTTTCCTGAGCCTGGTGTGATTCAACTCCTTATAAGGAAAATCCATTTGATTTTAGCTAAATTAAGATGTATTCAGCTAAGTGACTGGAGAATCTCACTGCTGCTTAAAGATTGAAAAGTCAAAACCAGAGAGCACAGATGCAAGATGGTGATGGTATAAATTGGGTCACAAATATGGTACATGTATTAATCCTTTCTTCTTGTGTTAGCTACTATCAAAAATAACCATATGTATTTGCTTACCACTTAAAGTTATTGCCCCCGTAGTAATTGATTAGAGTTTTGATCAATTGGGAGAATTTTAGAAAGCATTTGGCATGCTAACAGAACAGAAAAAACTCAATAGCAAGCACATTTATTCAAGCTGGGTTGTATGTGTAGACAAAATGAAATAATGAAATATACCAGCTTGTTGTGAAGACGATGCAGTTGTGTAACATAGCAGAATGAAAAGTCACAGTCTTTATTTTCTGGAATAGTAGTAATAATTGAACGCAAAGTACGTGGTAGAATGTTAAGAAATTTAGCAGTAGAATCTATAGATACAAATAAACCAGTAGAGTAACTCTAACTCAGGTCAGAGAATTGCTGCAACAACAGCTAAATTTAGAGACATAGGAAAAACAAGTTTTTTTTTCAGCAGCAAAACATAGAGCTTTTCTCCTTTTATTTTTGCCTGTTTACATTCTTTGATTTTGGTTTTCAATTTTACACAACTTCGTTGAAGGGTCGTGAATAGCAGAGACATTTAGTATAGTGGTTAAAATTCAGTTGGAATAATTAATCACTTAACTTTTTTTAATTGCACAATTATTGTAATTCATATCAAATATCAAATCTTGATTTGTGTTTAACTCTGATTTGATGACACTATTTAATATACTCAATTAGGTTATTTCACCCTAAATGTTTATACTTTGCCTATGAAGAAGATTGTTGGCACCCACTAGAATTGCTAAGATCTTACTGTTCTGAAAATCATCAGAATCTATGAACAGATTTAGCTAATACTACATGTGTTTGGTTGAAGTCACCTGACTTCCCCTAACTGAAAGCTCCCACATCTGTCTTACCAAGTTGGCTTTTTTCTTAGGCAACCAATGAACAGCTGAAGATTTGCAAATCTAAGCTGGACGATAAAGTTCTTTCCGTTGAAAAACAATTTGAACAAGAATTGGAAAAATGTGATCGACCTGAATTGGTAAGGCTTTTTGTTTTGTATTTAAGGAAAATGCTACAAAAAGAATGCTTATGGGATTTCAAAAAGTAATGGTATTGACTAAAGTATATCATGTACTGTACGAAAAGGTAAGGAATACAGAGGCCATAAAAGAAAGAGCAACATTTTCCACCTCCACCATTTTCCTTTCTTAGATTCCATATATAAAGTGGGCTTTCCCCCCATGTTTTCATACAGAACTTTCTAAACAATGCCAATGTAGCTTACATGAATAATTTTACAAAGTTGAATGATCACATACACACTGGATAGTTTTTATTACTTAAAATGTTTGGTAAGGACAAGCAAGGGGAATCATGATGTGAGTTTAGTTAGTCAGATCTGCTGTGCATGGAGTGATGAGCCCTGGGTAAGTTAAGTGTTGGGAAGTGTCAAAGTTGAGATACTGCGTTTTGGAAACTGCAAGGGCTTAGTAAATACTTGTCTCTTGACTGATACTTTCTTTGCAGGTGGCAAAGATTTTACCAGCGTTACAGGCCGTAAAAGATGGAAGAAAGTCCCTCAACTCACAAATTGCTGACGTAAGTTGAATTTGTCTAACACTTGTAGCTCTGTTATTTTTGAAATAATTTAAATTTAGTTCTTGTTTTTATTTTTCAGGAATACTATATAATGTTAGGGTTTCAGAGTTAGATCTTCAATTTCCATATATATATATATATATGCACGCACCCATAAGGCATTTCAGAAAAGTTTATAATAGTATACAAATATTTGAAAAGCTGTTGCTCTACTAAGCTTGTTGAAGGTGATTGCTATTTAACATATTAAGACAGAAAAAAAACCCTCATGGAGTTTGACTTTCAGTGGCGGATATACAGAATACGTAGTTGGTAAAATCTGCTATGCAATACGTGGCCATTGATAACAGGCTGTCATTTGTGTAAGGTCACATGGCAGATTAGTGGCAGAGCTGTACTTGATTCTTTGCTCTGTTTTCCTGCTATTCTGGAATACCTCTGCTGGCATTTTGCTGCCGTGTTGGTAGGTACACTGCCATGTTGCTATGTGTTGGAATGCTTTGGCCGTTATCCACATAAAGATTCCAGGGAGTCCATGAAGATAAGCCATTGTATTATGTTGTTATTGACCTAATGTTTTTTTTCTACTTAGGCTACAACAACGACCAGACCGTTTCAAATTATTCATGAGGCAATTAAGGCAGAACTAGAGAAGGTTTTCAATGAAAATGTGCAGCTTCACCAAGAACTGCTGCAGGTTTGTACTCTAAGTGAATCTTGCTTTCAAGTATGTAATGAGAAGAGCTTTGGGCATCCTTGTGACCAACCACATGTTAAGAGCAGGGTGGTTTTTGTTTTTTGTTTTTCTACTTAATATCACGGTAGGGTACTTCCATTGCACTCTTGTAACTGTGTGTTTTGGATAGGGATGCACAAGTGCATATTCTTCTGGTTCTCTTTCCTCGGAGTGAAAGTAAACCAGGGTGTTTGACACTTAGGCAATCACAGCAAATAGCGTTTAGCACCTGTTGCTTATCCGGGGCTTCGAGGCAAAATGGATCCTGGAGGTAGTTCAAATGAGGACTGAACATGTATCCTTTTTCTCCCTGTTTATATAGGCAAGACACACTGATTCTCATGTGTTCCGTTTCCTTTTTTCCCCCAATCAATTTATAGTTATTCAGCAAGAAACTTTGCAGTAATTGCATTACTATGACTCTAAATGCTTTATCTGGATCATTTAATATGATTGCATTTTCTGTCTACCTTCTGTCAACATTTTCTCTAATATTAATAATAATTTTGTTTCCTGTCTATCTACCCATAACTCTCAAAGAGAGTTATGCATCTTTGATGCATTTCGTATAATACCTTATGGGTTTATGCCTCTAACATAACAAAGCACCAGTCTTTTGCCATCTTGGTGTCAAAAACAAGTCAGGCCTGTGTTAAGCTTGTGATCAAATCAGAACTAGATATTTATATAAAAAATTAATTATATAACATCGCTTGTTACAACTACTTTCTGTGGTTTTAATTGTTACTGGAATAAAACATTGTAATACGATCGTTCACTAATGCTTTAAGACTGAATGTCACTTCATGTTTTCAGCAATGTGTTAGCTAGCACCCAGTCAACAAATCCAATGATTTGTTTTAATTCCATTTTCTTAAGACTTACTTTTATTTGAAAGGGAGATTTACAGAGAGACACGTAGCGACAGAAAGAGAGAACTTCCAATCTGGTTTGTTACCCAAATGGCTGCAACCGCAGGACTTGGACCAGTCTTCAGCCAGGAGCCTGGAGCTACTTCTGAGTCTCCCACATGAGTGTAGCGGCCCAAGAACATAGCCATCCTGCACTGCTTTCCCAAGACATAAGCAGGGAGCTGGCTCCGAAGTAGAGCAGCCAGCACTTGAATTGATAGCCACATGGGATGCAGGCCCCTTAAGTAGAGGCCTGATCTTAGTGTTATGAACAGTTTTATGGAAAAATTCATAGTATCCAAAGTTTGCGTGGGTTTTAAAGCATTTTTAGTGACCAAATATTGTCCCTAGTTTTTCTCCATGAACTCTTTGAGGTACTTGTGTGTTTGTCTCAGTAAGCCTTTTATGTGATAAACATATGTAAGTCAGTTGAAGAATACTTTAGTCTTGTTTGAACTATCCCAGTTTGGAAATTCTTCGTAATAGGAGTCTTCTTCCTTCCTGGAAGTAGCAGAACTGCCTTTTTGGATGTCTGTTAATGACACCACCAGCCTTGTGAATTCATCTGTTTACAAACGTGCATGATGAGTGAAATTTTTTGTTTCAATTTCAGCTTTCAGAAGAACCTGGACCATGGAAAGAAAAATTACGGAAAGCTGCTGATGAAGCGCAAATAGGACTTGAAAACACTAAAATACGCAGAAAACAACTTCTGAGGGATGCACGAGGCCTCTTTGAGGTTAATGACTCCTCTGATTTGTATGATTGAGCTGGCTGGAATTTTATTTTAACATGGAAATTTATAAAGTTTTACATGCCAAAAAAAAAGTTTTGCAAACAAATCCTTGCTATGGGAAATGATGAATTAAATTGCTAGACTGGGATCTTGAAACTATTCTTAGTGTCATAATCTTCCCCTCTGCACCCACATATTCCACAGCTATCGATTCAGCAAACCATAGATCAGAAATATTTGAAAACCAAATGAATTGTGTCTGACAGAATGTTTTCTTGTCATTATTCTCGATAGTGCTACCACAATTTCTGTCACAGAGTTAGCATTAGTAGCAGTATAGAACTGAGTTAAAATATAGGTATGTGTAGATTGTACCTGAATACTGCACTGCAGAGTATAAGAGCCTTGAGTAGCTGTGGATGTTGGCATTTAGGAGTTGGATGGCTGGTCCTTGGAACCTTCCACTTGTGGACACCAAATGATAAATGTATTGTTTAATTCTTTGCCTAAGCGTAAAAGATTGAAAGACCTTGAAATGCACGATAAACGCAACAAAAATGAGACACTAACCTTGAACTGTGCTCAAATCTGAAGGCCCTGTTGTTTGTGCCTCAAATTCTAAAGAGTGAAGGGACGGAAGCATGGCAACTGTAGAGCAGAATAGATTTAGGTGGGTCTTTCCAGAGAAATACATGGCTCAGTCCTTTGATTTTTTTGGTTACTGTTCTCGAAAATCTGTTTCCAAAGGGAAAAAAAATACCCAATACTGGGAGCCCTCTTATGCTCTAATTTGGATTCTTAAGAATGTGTTTTATCTCAGTTGAACTCCTCACTTCGTTCTGTTTTGTTTTGAATACATTAAAATTTGTAATCTTTATAACACAGATTTCATAATTCTATCAAATGTATCCTTGGGTTAATGATCACTATTATTTCTAGCAGATAATTATGTCATATAAAGCATTTTACCATTTAAAAATAAGTATTTAGCAAGAATGAGCCATTATGAGACCTTCCATGTAGGAATCACTAGTTCTGGTTTTATCTTGGAGCACTTAATAGCCAATAATATGTTACAGCTTCTCTACCTGTGTGAAAGGGAGAGAGACAGAGAGAGATAGACTTACATAAAGCTTTCCCACTTGCTGTTTCTCTTTAGTACCCAGAAGAGCCTTGGCTGGGCCTTGTAGCCAGCAGTCAGGAGCTCCATCTGAGAGGAGTGGCAGGGACACATCTACCTGAACTGCCCGCTGGTGAGGTGGTGGTGTTCATGGAAGGGAACTAGCAAGAAATTGGAATCAAGAGATAGAGTCAGAATGGGAATCCAGACATTTAGATGGAGAATGAGCGTCTCAAGGGGTGTCTTTTTCAAAAAAAAAGAAAAGATTTATTTATTGTTATTGGAAATGCAGATATACTGAGAGAAGGAGATGAAGAAAGATATTCTGTCCACTGATTCACACCCCATGCGGCCACAATGGCTAGAGCTGAGCTGATCCAAAGCCAAGAGCCAGGAGCTTCAAGCTTCTTTTGGGTCTTCCATGCTGGTGCAGGGTCTCAAGGCTTTGGGTCTTCCTCAGCTGCTTTCACAGGCCACAAGCAGGGAGCTAGATGGGAAGTGGAGCAGCTGCGACATGAACCAGTGTCCTTATGGGATCCTGGTGTGTGCAAGGCAAGGATTTTAGCCACTAGACTACTGCACTGAGCCCTCAAGATGTGCCTTAACCACTGTGCCAAATACCCACCCTATGTAGATTCATTCAAAAACTGTACTTGTACATCCACAAGTTGTAAAGTTGGGCTGGCATTGTCATATGTAGGTGAAGCTACCACATACATTAGCATCTCATACAGCTTTTTGCTAACTTACCTGGAAAGGCTACCAAAAGATGGCCCAATTCCGTGGACCTCTGCCAGCTGTGTGGGAGACCCAGATGGAGGCCGTGACTCCTGGTTTCACAATGTTACAGTAATTTAGGGAGCAAACCCATGAATAGAAGAGTGTGTCTGTATCTGTCTCCTCCTATTTGTCCTTTGGCTGTCAAATAAATACGTACAGAAGTCTTGAAAGAAATAATGAATACACCAGTGTAAGTCATTCACCTTTTTCTTTTGTTTTGTTTTTTGCTCAACATCAAATGTCTAACTGAACCCTTACTAAAGGTGAAAGACCCGTCTTCATCTCTCAACGTTGTAGAAGACACAACTAAAAATAATGACAAGAAAAACTTGGACAGGAAGAATGACGAAAACAATTGTGGTCCTTTAGGTATTAAATCAGTATTCACCTCTTGTTAAAATTGTGACTAGTTCTTTTCTTCTGTTTGTTTTTTGTTCCCCCTCTAGACTTTTTTGCGGGGTGGTTTCAGGGTTTTACTTGAGCATAGATGTAAAGTTTGCACCCAGCTGGCTGCTCATTTTCTTTGCAGAGCAGCCTAGCATTGGGATTGGTGACTCAGATGGACAGCTGGGCTGCCATTTCCCTGAGGGCTTTGCAGTTCTTGGAGGAGACATTGTGAGCAATCTCTGCACAGCAGGATTTGTTGCACATGAGTAGCACCTCTAACTCCTTGATGTGGTGCACTTCCAGAACTTCCAGAAGCCACTGGGCAGCCTGTGCTTTGTCTTCTTGTTGCCCCAGTAACCATTGTTGGGCATCAGTATCTGGCCCTGAACCTCTCGCACACCTTGTAGTCAGTGCCTTTGGGCTCCTGCCAGTTCTGCTTAATTTTGACATAGTGGCGAGCCTGGTGCCAGATGTACTTTTTGGTCCTCTTCTTGATGACCTTGGGTTCAGCAGGGGTCTGAGGGCAGCCATGATACCTTTGGGGAAGCAGCAAAGCCACAAGTATAACCCATGCTCCCTGGAGTGAGTTGCTCTGCTTGGGGTACACACACTATGTCAGTGTCTTCCAGTTGCCGGTCTGTGGCAAGCTGAGAATGGAATGGCCAGCTGTGTGGCTTCGCTCCCCCTCCCACCTCCAAAGCTGACAGAGCACTGGCCACACTCGAGATGGCATCTGGGACGTGGAGGCCATGTTCTTAGTATACTTGTGCTTTGACAAGTTGGAAACAGTGTCACTGTCTCACTTTGCATTTATCTTCAGTTGGAGCAGCCCTGGTAAATCCCTTCAACACCTCATAGACCAGTGCTTGTTTTTCTCTGTGTTGTAGGCCACAAAAATGAACAGGTGACTCATTCCAAAAATGAATGCCACACAAATCACAAATTCCTAACTCAAGATTTTTATTAAGTTCATTTGTTACACTACTTTGGGTCACCACCATAATTTTTTGCCATTATCCACTGCAGTCTGGACTTGCCAAAACAAGGGTTAGCTGAAGCCATGCACGGTGTTCTCAAACCGATTTTGGTGACTTTCATTTTTATTATTTATTTTATATATATATTTTTATTGTTATTAACATTGTATTATGTGATACAGTTTTATAGGCACTGGGGATTTCCCCCACCCCTCCCACACCCCTCCCCCATAGTGGATTGCTCCATCTTGCTGCATAACCACAGTTCAAGTTCAGTTGAGATTCCTTCATTGCAAGCATATACCTAGCATAAAGTCCAGCATCTTATTGTCCAGATAAGTTCAGTGGCCTCTTGGGGAGACCCTCTCTGGTCTGAAGGTAGAGCTAACAGTAAAGATCCGGTCAGTTAAAAGCCCCAACAAAACATCAGCATCAATATACAATGTTATGGAATTAATTGACATAGTATTGAGTAAACAATATGTTAAAAATAATGCAAGTTCAATTCTTCAAAACATCTGGGTTGAGACAGTATCAATGACAGGTTCAAAAAATAACAACCAACCAAACAAAAATTACAGGTTAAATCATTTTCTTGCAAGGCAAACATGTGGTATGTAACCTTTTGGGATTCGCTCATTTGTCTTAGCATTATAGTTTCCAGTTGGGCCCATTTAGCCACAAAGAACTGCATTTTGTTTTTTTAATAGCTGAGTAGTATTCCATGGAGTAGATGAACCAAAGCTTTCTTATCCAATCTTCTGCTGATGGGCATTTCGGTTGCTTGCATGTTTTTGCAATTACTGATTGTGCTGCTATGAACATAGGGATGCATGTTGGTTTGTCGTAAAACAGGTGTTTTGGATATATTCCTAGGAGTGCTATTGCTAGGTCATATGGTATGCAGATTTTGAGTTGTTTGAGTGTTCTCCAGACTGATTTCCATAAAGGCTGTACCAACTTGCAGCTCCACCAGCAGTGGAGTAGGGTTCCCTTTTCCCCGCATCCTGGCCAACAAGTGTCGCTGTTGTTCTTTTATATGTGGGCCAATCTTACTGGTGTTAGGTGGTACCTCATCGATGTCTTAATTTGGATTTCCCTTATTGCCAGGGAACTGGAGCATTTTTTCATGTTTGTTTGCCATTTGGACTTGTTCCTTTTTGAAATGTTTGCCCATTTCCCGTGCCCATTTCTTGAGTGGCTTGTTTGTTTTGGTGTTTTGGTTGTTTTGGAGTTCTTTGTATATCCTGGAGATTAGCCCACTATCGCCTACATAGTGCGCAAAGATCTTCTCCCATTCTGTGGGTTGGTTTTTTACTTTACTGATTGTTTCCCTTGCTGTACAGAAGCTTCTTAGTTGGATGAGGTCCCATTTGTTTATTCTGTTCTTAACTGCTATTGCTTTTGGCGTCCTTCTTAGAAAGTCAGGAACTACTTGCAGGGTATTTCCAACATTTTCTTGCAAGAGTTTGAAGGTTTCTGGATGTAGGTTTAGGTCTTTTATCCATGTAGATTGGATCTTAGTGTATGGTGACAGATGTGGGTCTATCTTTTTGTGTCTGCAGGCTATCAGCCGGGAAAAAGATGGCCGACCTCGAGGAGCTGTTATAAGGTGGAGAACAAAGAGAGAAAGACCGATCCAGCCGAAAAACAAACCAGGAGTCACAGAATTGCAGGGAGAGAAGTGGGAAAGACACTAGACTGCACTGAAGTAAGATCAACTCAGCCTGCAGGGACCGTCAGAAAAAAAAAGAAAAGAAAGAGAGGTCGCCGTGCAAGAATTGGTGAGTTGCGGTCCCACACAGGGGGAAGGTCGGCTGCACAGTCTTGGCCAACCCAGGGAAGACAAGGGCAACTGCAAAAACAAGCTCCCGCACCAGCGGGAGCCACAG